TACCCAAAAATCATTGAAGCCACCCATGCCATTATTGTCTCTGGGCATTTAAAAAAAAAAACAAAACTGGTGGTGGAGGGAGATGTATGTGCAAATATCAGTTCTGTTTACCAAAATTCTGTTGGTATAGTAAACAAAACAGTAATAGAAATCAAGTGTTGACCGATCAATTTGACAGCATGGGGTATATTGTTAAGATGTTGAAGCATTTAATGGAGAAGAAAAAATTCATTAAAGATGAGTTTGCTGTTAAGATGAAAAGTATATTTTAAAAGTTTTTTAAAGAAAAATTAAGAAAAAGAAAAAATCCAAGTTCTAAATTAATTCTGTTTAGTTCTATAATTTTATTAGCCATTCTTAGCAGCTGCTATTGTTAGATTGAAGTTTTCTGTGTCATTTTAGGCTTAGGGTAAAACAAAATTTAAATGCTAGTCGATCTGAATATCTTGGTGTTGGGATTGGGTCATAGTCGAAGCATTAAAATCCTGGAATCCTAAAAATCACAATTCTGAAAGATCAAAATCTTGAAAATATAATCCTGGAAAAAGTAATTTTAAAAATTTATTTGACAGAAGTTGCAGTGAGCCAAGATCATGCCATTGTACTCTAGCCTAGGTGACAGTGAGACTCCATCTCAGAAAAAAAAAATTATTTTGAAGACATTGTTTCACATTTTTGAAAGGGAATGTATTTGAGAAACATGTAAAAACATGACAGCACTTCATTGGCCACTTTATACAATAAAATAGGCAATAATAACATATGCTTTTGTAAGCATAAACAGTTATAAAAATGACAGTTACATGGGTAAAACAGGAGCAAACTGTTAATAAAGAAATAGATCAGAAAGCAAAATGTGTAAGTGCATATCACTGTGGTTAGCAATTGTGTGCCACTCAGCTTTGTAACTGCACTCATCTAAAATAACCATGACAGACAACCTGTCTTGAGGAAATTGATTTAAAAAATGGCGATGGGTCACCACAACATTTGCAATCACTCAGAGAGCCAAGATCACAACAAATTTTATGTTTCATAGATGCGGATATACAGATATACAGATATGCATGTATATCTTCTTGTATACATGCACGGTGCTTAACACGAAAAGTTATGCTGTGATACTGTACTTTTGTGGAGTCAAATTTGTGATGTTCAAGGCAGCAGAAGAAAAGTCTGTCCAGCTTTCAGAGAGAGAGACCAATTCAACTTTTGTATTTGTTCTTTCAGAGAACTGGTCAGTTAGGTGGTGCCCGCCAACACTGAGGGCAGATCCTCCCCACCTAGTTCACTTGGACTTAGTAATCTTTTCTGGAAACACCCTGACAGACACACACAAAATAATGCTTTACTATGTATTTGTTACTTAATTATTTAAAAGAAGTGTTATACTCTAGTGTTTTGTTTTTGTTTTCCCTTTTTATTTGAGACAGCCTCGACTCTGTTATCAGGCTGGAGTGTAGTGGCATGGTCCTGGCTCTTGTCTTGGTTCACTACAACCTCCACCTCCCAGGTTCAAGCAGTTCTGCCTCAGCCTCCCGAGAAGCTAGGACTACAGGTCCACCACCACGCCTGGCTAATTTTTGTATTTTTAGTAGAGATGGGGTTTTACCATGTTGGCCAGGCCGGTCACAAACTCCAGACCTCAAGTGATCTGCCCGCCTCAGCATCTCAAAGTATTGGGATTATAGGCATGAGCCACCACATGCAGCCTAGCCTCTTAACAATCTTACAAATAAGATCTTTACAAAAGGAAACAAGTTAGAAAGTTAACTTTAATAATTATTTTACATGATCATTTGTAGAGTCTTGTCAGGACTGGAATTGGAACCATGATCTGTTGTCCTCTAATTCAGTTTTCTTTTCATTCTATGATCCTGGGAGGTAATTTGTCTTTATAAGTATTTGATCTATGAGTTGGCGTGATAGATTACATTTACTATTTGTCCCTAATGCACTTTTTCTCATTAAATGAGAGGAACTCAAAAACTTTTAGTAAGACTAAATTGCATTCTAGGAGAATGGCCACCAGTCGTTACTGAGCAGCGATGATCAACTTTTTATTTATGAGACAGCTGGAGTTCTGATTGTTAATAGTGAATACCCAGCAGAAAGGAAACAAGCCTTAATGAGGAATCTGTTGACTCCACTAATGGAGAAGTTTAAAATTCTGTTAGAAAAGCTGATGCTGGCACAAGATGAAGAAAGGCAAACCTCTCTAGCAGACTGTCTCAACCATGCCGTTGGATTTGCCAGGTAAGCGTGATCACAGTTAAAATTGTAATGTGCATGTATCTACACAGGCAGAACCACTTGTTTGGTGAGCACACATATTTGTGTTTCCTTGGATTGTCCAGAGAATTGTCTAAATCCTCAACTTCCAAATTCAGTAAATTAGGTTTAGTTGAAGCAGGGGTTAGATTACATATCATTTGCATTTTTGCCTTGACAACTGTAAATCTTTAACTCCTCTGACTTCTTTGGTATAAATAGGTTGTGTGTTTAAGGGGATTAGCAAAAGTGTTAATATACCAAAGATACGTTGAGATGGGCTGTCTTTGGTTAGTCTTGGTTACCTTAAAGAGAAGAGCCTGAGGCTTCTCTTTAGTTGCATTGTGTCCTGAAGACCACCCAAGCAGCTTTTTCCCCCGCAACCATGCTTTTTGTTGACAAACAATAAACAACAGCATGAAAGTTGTAATGATTGCTAATTAGAAGTTAAATTGTTCTATAATATACTTAAAAACAAGAGCCGCCGGGCGCGGTGGCTCACGCCTGTAATCCCAGCACTTAGGGAGGCCGAGGTGGGTGGATCACAAGGTCAAGAGATCGAGACCATCCTGGTCAACATGGTGAAACCCCGTCTCTACTAAAAATACAAAAAATTAGCTGGGCATGGTGGTGTGTGCCTGTAATCCCAGCTACTCAGGAGGCTGAGGCAGGAGAATTGCCTGAATCCAGGAGGCGGAGGTTGCAGTGAGCCAAGATCGCGCCATTGCAC